TGAGTTATAAAAGCATTGGCACGTTTTTTGTAAGAACCTAGATTCGCGGAATCAATATCAGGCGAAACGTGGAATTCGCTGAACTTAAAATGAACCAAGAATCGCCTAAATTCTATTCTGCGAACATTCCTTTGTTAGTTTATGTAATGAAAATAATTAAATAAATTAATTTGAGTACTTAATCAGACGATTTGAATAAATTGTAAGCTTCGACAAAATTATATCCAAATCTTATCTAGGTAATAACAAAAGTCCGTGAATTAAAGCTGTTAATGAAAATAATAAATGTGTTTGAAAGTACGATGACAATTAGATCGAAACTATACAGATCGTGAATGTAATTATAAGCGACATTGTAGCTATAACTGGTCGGTGGAGTTTATTGCACATTAAATGAAATGCTAATTTTGTATCAGACGGTTTTCTCTATTTCTTATCGATCACTGAAAGCGTTTCAATGGTCGAGACGAGAAGGCAGCAATTTTAGAATTCTCGCTTTCAATAGAAACCTAAAACGAAAAGGAGGAAGCCAGTAATCGATTGTTGATAGTAACACTTCCTATGAACGAAAAATTGCCATCTTCCTTTGCATATTTTCTACTCTGTTCACATTTTTCTTCTTTCTCATTCGTTTAACTATTCTCTCCAATTTTGTATTATGTGACACAATTGTATTAAACATATAAAAATGTAATTAGAAAAAAGTACCAGTAATAAAGAAAGATAATTCATTAAACAACCATGAACTATTAACACGTTCACTGTCACGGCGATCAACTGTGACTATGTAGCACCATTAGATCATATAAAAAAACATTTGCTTCCTGGACAGTAATATTTACAAACTTATAATAACTGATGATACAATACTGATTTAAATCGTGAATGCACAAATCAGCGCAGAAACTTATGTACTTTTAATAAGATACAATTTAAACAAACGTGCTTTTCCAGAGTATATAAGGTGTTCATAGTCCTACCAAAAAATTGGGCAATCAACATGTTAATAAACGTTTACATGGAAATAACTAAAACGAATGCAATCGAAATAACAAAGATTCTGCTGCAACAACGGAGAAAAACAATTTAAATAATAATAATGTATACAATGGACACGATGAAATACATGATCTTGCTAAAAAATTGGGCAATCAACGTGTTCACAAACGTTTCCATCGAAATAAATAAAAACGAATGCAATCAAACTAACCAAGATTCTGATGCAACAAACGTAAATACAACTTAAGTAATAATAATGTATACACTATGGGCACAATAAACTGCAAGAATCATTAAGTAAGTAAATGTATAAAAGAAACGAGAAGCTGCTAAACGGTAAAGGTAACCGGTCAATATCGAGATATCCACGACGATGCAAGAATCATAAGGACTGTACGCGGTTGGTCAGATCGTTCAACAGTGATCGACGATTTTAGTGGAATCGTTTTCAATCGTTGACGGGGACGAGAATAGGGAGGGCGAGAGAGCCTGATCGGCGTTGTTCGTCGTAACGATCGCCACACCGGTTCGGCACGGTGCGTCATAAATGACCGATGACAGATTCCTCGAAGCCATTTCGTTGCGCATACGAAATCGCCTCGGTCGGCGGTACATCAATAAAAAGCGATCGGCCACGAATAAATGCGCGCGGACTCCGTCGATCCATTCGTTCGCCCCGCCTCGCCGCCTTCGGAAATACGTGATCGGCGAGTTTTCGACTTTCCATCTTCGATCGACTATCCCCATGGAATAGTCCAAGCTAACGTCGTGATGGTTCTGTTTGCATTGACCATGATAATTGGGGAATGGGCGATAATTGAGGATCCGTGACAACTAGGGACTCTGCGACAGTGAGGGTATCCTCTACATTTAGAGAATCCTTGACAGGTAGGGAATCCTCGACAGTTAGAGAATCCTCGACAGTTAGGAAATCCGTGACAGTTAGGGTATCTTGCAACAATTAGGGAAACCGCGACAGTGAGGGTATCCACTACATTTAGAGAATTCGCGACAGTTAGGGAATCATGTACAATTAGGGAATCCTTGACAGTCAGAGAATCATCGACAGTTAGAGAATCCTCGACAGTTAAGAAATCCGTGACGCGAAATCCGCGACACTTAGGGAATCCGCGATAATTAGGGAATCCACGACAGTTAAGGAATACACGGTTTCCTCGGAACCGTAGAGCGAAAAGGACTGCAGGATATATTGGATTTCGAGTAGTGAGATACGCAAACACCAATTGTGTGTCTTGGAACTACGTTGTAATTATTAGGTGTTTCAATAAGTAATCCACTATTTTCTCTGTTATAAGTAGTTCTCGTTACTTGTTTCCATCATTCTCAGTCATTTCGATTAGACAGAAGATCGGAAAGGTATTCTGAATTTAAAGTGTATTGCCAGTATATTGATTAGTTAATAGTACAATTAATATATTACTTGTACATACATTCAAATTTACTTTTTCGTAGGGCGAAGATTTACGGATGGTTTTTCGGAATAACTTCGCGGATGACCAATAGTGATCGATGTCGTTAAATTATAGGAAAGTGATCCAGTCTCTGAACAATAATAGTTACATTCTTGTAAATATGATTAGTAGTATAATGATGATCGAAAAAGTTGTTCTCTTAATAGCCAGAACTTATACAGACGGATTCTACTAGGATATTGTCAAAATAGTGAAAATGTAAACAGTCAGCGTGTTAAAGTGCAAATAATATTTATGTAACAATCTAGAAAAATCTCTAAGATGATGTTTCAGGAGATCTATAAAGTATTCCCCAAATAAGAAATTAAAATTTAAATATGCTGCTCATTAAAGTGATAGAAAAAACATTAACACGTTGTCTGGTACAGTAAGATATGCCATACGTAACCAGACATTTTATTTCATTCTTAAGTCTTACATCGTCAAAAATAGGTATATGTATTTAGTTAATACAGACGTGGCAACAATAAGCATTTGCCCAGCCACATTTGTTTGAATTTAATAAAAAAATGTTTCAAAGTATTCAGAAGAATTAATTTTCTTTATAATAAGAATCATAGAACAAACAGAATTCTGAATTGTTTATTGGGAATTCACAATGTGAAATGTAAAATGCATAAAAAGAAATCGTTCTTCGATGGAAGAAGAAAAACTCACGAGGGGTAGTATATAGTCAGATTTTAATGGAGATAGGGTATCTCTAGTCCCTTTAACCTTTGGTTATAGTCATTTAACATGTTCGTCGTTTTTAAGTTGTTTCCTTAATTTTTCTAATGATTCAGAAGGCTGGTTGTCCAAAACAATCAAGTACTTCATATAGTATTGTACATAATAATATCGCTGCCTTTCATCACTTTACATTAAACAATTCTCAAAGTCTCAATAAAGAGTAAACCAGGCAGAGGGTAACATTCATACCGTTGTGCACACTTTTATAAGTGCAAAATTATGCAGGAAATTCCACGATGGCCGACACGGACACGTCGAATCGACGGAAAATGTATTCGATAAATTATCATATCGATCGGTGAAATTTTCGAGCGTCGCTCTTCTTTTCGAGGAAGAGGGGCTCTTCGTCGAAAGGGGTCGCCGAGCGTTTGAAATTCGGCCAGGATTTACCGAGTACCGTATCACGTACACGAGCATGTGTGCGAACGGAATTTCACGTGTGGATTGTGTGTGCAAACGTGCGATATTCGACTTTGGGACAACGCGTAATTTATGCACGCTACTGTGTATCTCGGGCCCTTTGCCGGCTTCGAGCGTGGCGACTGCGATCGTAGTCGAGGATACGCCACTGGAATCGTTAAGCGGTCATCGCGATTTTTTGACGACTTGCGTTTCACGTACGATGCAGCTGTCGTTCATTTTTCGTCATACAAAAACATTGACAGGATTTAATAAAATTTTCTATTCCGATTTTTTTCGAAAACAATTGGTGTCCGATTTAGTGTAAGTTGGAGTATGTAAGTTTGGTATAAGTTGAAATAAGTAAATTTTGTAAAATACTTCGATTATGAACAGACTAAATTTGAATCCACTAAAGTTGTTATTCAATTCTGTGTTAAACTGCAATGAGTGCATAAAATCCACAAACTAATTACTAGATGTAAATTAAGAATTCATTTGTAACTCGTGTTTAGGAACATCCAACAAGATATTAAATTCGTTCTTAAGCGACGGTACATTGACAAAGGAAGTGATAAACACAAGGAAAAGTTATTTAAATTAATCGTAAAAAAAGAACACTGAATAATTTTGATTGTGCTTAATTGTGAGCGTTGAACTGGAACAGTTAGAAATAACGGAAACGTCGTAAATTCGTCGTTACTGCCCTAATAAGCAGCTTATCGATCGACATTTCCTTTAATTAGTCGTTGCCACCACGGTAGCATTTCGTCAGTGCTGGGGAATAATTGAAACGATCACTCCCGCATCCTGTTAACGCTAACAGCCGTCAGACGTCAAGCTATAGCACAGAGCTTGCGCGTGCATCGAATATAGAATTACCATTGGCCGTAAGTTAATAGCGGAATATAAATAAATAGGTATTTCACGATCCCGTTCTCGTAACGGCCCGCTATCATTAATAAACCACCGGGGAATTGATAATGCTGTTGAATCAGAGGTTGCGTAATGTCTTTCAGAGATGTTTCATGAGAACTTGCAAATTAGTCGCGTCTATTCGTTGAAGTGGGAAATTGTACGATTTGGATATAACATATAACATACATATCGTGAATCTTGAAAAATTTATAAACTTCAAAAGCTGCTATTTGGACATTCGAAACGCAGAGATAGAAGAAATTACGTATTACAAAATATTCATATTTTGCACATGATAACAAAATTGTGAAATGAGATAACTACTGTACTGCTACGACTACTGTTACCACGTACATTAAAATTCTCTATAATCATTATCGCCGTCGAAAAGTTTTGCTGTTAGCAACGAAATGATTAAGAAGAGTAACAGACAAACCAATTATATTTTATGAAAAGGCTCACCGTGTCGTGACTTCGAGAGATCGTGAACGGGCGAAGCAGGCGAGTCAATGCTACCGTCGTCCTCGCTGTCGGTGAAGCTAGTCGATCCACGGTGATTCGGTGTACGCTGACAACCGGTCGGATAAGCTGCCCCTTGGAGATGATTAGCCCCCGGGCCAAGATGCTGCGACAATCGGCTCTGATAAAGATCCTGATGGGACGGGTAGCTGGCCGAGGTGTGCGCGGGTAGCATCGGGACACCGGAAGTCCCGCCGCTGCCGTACATCCGCATCGGTAGCCATGCTCCGTAGAGGCCGAGGGGCACACCGAATCCTAAAAAAATGAGCATTGGTCAATTTTTTGGTGAAGTTTTATTGCTTACTATACAGGAATTCAATAGCAATCCTGTATATTTGTGGAGGTAAAAAGGGTCTAAGACTTTAGGTGCTTATAGTATACTTATTGAGTGGAGTAAAAAGTGTCGAATCAATATGGGTCTTAAAATTATTTTTTTGATGAAAAATACAGAAGTTCACTATGACATTTGTTCCTTTCATATCTCGTATTGCCTGTTGTCTTACAATCTGGAACTAAACGGTATTTCTAAACCAAATATTTTGTTGTAATATAAAAATAAATTGTAATATAAAGGTTGTAAATATAAAAGTTGATTTTATACCGAAAGGATTGATTTTAGGACCTATATTGATTAGACATTTTGTACTTCTCTCGGTGAGTACTACATATGAACTTGTAAAGTCTTAGACCCCTTCATCACCTATACTAAAGTTGGGGCGACTAGAGTTGACACGCGAATTTGTCACCTTTCTATTTAATGGTGTCTAATGGTAGGCATTTATTTAGCGCTTTATCGTCTGCTATACATGAATAGAACCAATCGAAAACGCATTGATTGATAAGAAGTGTCACGTTTTCTCGAATTTCTTCGATTGAACAAAAGATGATCGGTTCAAGTAGAATGACTGTCTTACACATAGCAACCAGTTCCTTTCCTTAGCGAATACAATATCAGGACATCGAAATGATTACTTATGGGGCGGAAGGGGGTAACGTATGTTAGTTATTGAACTAGGAGTAGATCAATTCCTCATCATTCATATAACAATTCAGACCGTTCCGACTTTAGTTCGAATAACAATTTGGTAGTTATTTAGGTGATACACAGGATGTTTCGGAAATCTACATCAATGACCGATGAAATATACTTCTTCCATATTTGTAATTGTAAAATTAATATGGACTAGAATTTTTAAATGAAATAAATATTTTAATGGTAATATAGACGGCCTTTTGTTAGCACTTTATACCGAAGTTTAGTTAACCCTCGAGTACTGTTCGGGTCAATTTAACCCGAATGCAATTTTTAATTCTCAATTATGTATTTTATTATAAAAAATCATAAATTAAGTTGACATCGATAGCTTACATATACAATACTATAATTTAACGTTAGATACATATATTTCCTTACTTCGATTTTAATTCAGACCCAATCCGGGTCAAAGAATGGCAAGGCAATAGTTTATTGAACACTCCACGAGAGTTAATTAACTTTATGAAAACAATATTCAAAGCAACATCAATTCCTTATTTAATTAGTATTTAAAGAGAAACTAGTTATCAATAAGCATTGGAATTAATAGACTTTAGGCTTATTAATAGACTTTAAGCTTGTTAATAGATTTCCGGTTGAAAGACTGTTAATGAATCCTGTTCCATCTAAAACCTACGGTTCCACGTAATCGTAAAATCCAGTTAAGCTACAGAAAGCTAATACTTAAACCGGTTTCTTAATACCATGTCCTATAATTGTACTCTGAACAAATACCTACTTGTGCTCTAAATTAAAAGGTAAAATTTCCCAATCAACTAATATTTTCGTTGAATCACCAATAGCCCATCTTCCGAAAAATTTGTTCCATTATGTTTTAAAGTTTTTCCACTGACGCATAAAACAAAGGAGTGCTCGGCACAATTGAATTTTAAAATATACAAATTTAAACTACCTAAACATGGAGGCCGATTCAATGAATGAAAATCAAACAGTAACCTGGAATAATTGTGAATCTGATAACGATCATAATCTAATGTGATTGTCTAAGGTGACATTTAGCGAAGCTTGATCGAATTTCATTTACCAATGAAAATAGGGCAAGTACCGGTAAAATTAGGCGCGCTACATCCGGTGCAACAAAAAGATGCTCCTAATGTACGTATTTGATTATTGAAGAATCAGGCTAAATCTCCCCGGCGCTTCCCGAGTTCCCGCTTTATGATCCTCTTAATCCGGACAATTCCGAACTGGAGCGGTAAATCGAAGAAATTTAAATTTCATTATCGGTAATTGTAATACGATTATGGGAATGGCGTGACGAAGACCGGAGATTAAATCATGGAAGAACGCGACCTACTTCCCGTCGTAACGTTATCTATTAACATATTAGAGTATATCAGCTTCCAATGGAATATTGGCAAGTATAACTGACATATGCAGATCCCGATCGTACGATATATATTCCGTTTCCATTTCTGATAATGAAGAGACAGTTCAATGAATCATCAATGACGTTTAACATCTTGAAATTCACCGTACTGAAGTTTACAATTTGATGGAGTATATGAAGGAAAAGCTGAACATTCTTTTGAAAAGTTCAATATGGTACAATATATTGTAAGTATGGGCGATGTAAATAAAATGAAATAGTAATGAGTTGTGTAGTTATAGTATAGTAAATAAGGGCAAGTCATCACGGACTATTATTTCTGATTATGAGTTATAATATGATAATATTTCGTTATACAGCACCTTTCAGTATATTGCATTGTATTACTAGTAGAACTAATAATATTATGACATTGTAATATTAGCATGTGTAAATAAAACATAATAAAACACGACGTATGCAAATTAATTGAATTTTCATACGATCATCAACGCCAGCAACAACTGCATTCATTGGAAGGTATTGTAAACTGTTGTAGAGCTATGTCGTAATGGCTCTGACGTAATATGTGCCAGCAATACTTATGAAAACTATATAATGTCTACGATAATCATAATTACCTATACAAAATTACTTGATATGTCAGTTCATAAGATTTTTTAAATATCGAGAGCTTTTTTAGTTCCAAAACTGTCACAGAATTAAATAGCATGCACAGTAATTAGAAATACAAATCACGTACTGTTCAGTGAACGCTAATTACAAGCAATCTGAACTATCGTAACCGTCATAAATTGCCAAAGTCATGTTACTCTGCTATGTTCGTTATAACTACCAAAGCTACGACAACCATCAGTCATGCTTTATCAAAAATAACAACATACAACATATAATCGACATCACTGTTCAACAAAATTTTGAAAATTCTAAGATGGAGTGAAACTAGTCCTATTTATTTAATTTTTAGTTGCTGAATACAATGGTAATCTCACTTTCAACTCTATACGTAAGGATTTTCTCTAATTTAATTATAAATATAGGTCTGTAAAAAACACGTAGTACCCATATTTATATTTTACTTAAATTCATTATTATTTGTTAAATACAATAGAAATAAAATCAGAAATATTTGACTAGGTGAATAATTCAAGAAATAAATCAAACTCAACGTCGCTAACTTTATCTCTAAAAACTTTATGACACGTAGAGGTAAAACAACTAAGACCAGCACCGTGTTCAGCAATCTTCGATTAACACAAAAAAGCAGGTTTAGTTCCATCATTCTGGGATTTGTTGAACAGTGTGTTTAATAAAATCTTTATAAAATCACCAAATTATAAAAAAATTGATACTGGCACCTAAACGAATGGAAATAAACAAATTATCTGCATAATCTTGTACAAATAAGAAACCAACCAGGAGGCAGTGCGTTCGCCGCCGCAGTCGCCAGGTAATGCCTCTGATAAAGATATTCCCTGTCCCGGTCCGAGTCCTCCTCGTTCTCGTTCGTTCGTTCTTCCTGGGTAGCTGGATCGCAGATTCCTTTCTGGGGCCCGCAATTCCCGATCAGACTTTCGATCGTGAACGGCTTCGGTGTCGGTCGTCGCGTGATCTTCGATTCCGCGATCGAGGATTCGAGCTCGTCGCTCGCGGATCCGACGTCGAGCTCAGTTTCCTCCACATTTGAATCCATATTTCTCGATTCGAATCTCGGTGCTCAGTGTCCAATCGAATCACTTCATGCTCATGTATCGGTTTATACAGAATTCGACACAAATGTAAAGCGACAGTCCTCTTGTAAATTTTTATCAAATTATAATATTTAGATACTTCCTTTGTGTCGCAGATCGTGACAAATAACGTATTTTTTAACGCTTTAGCTTAAACTGGATTATGATGGTTTCATGATTATGGGACTCGATATGAATTCTTGTTGATGTAATTGTACTTCCTACGTTTGTAGTATGCATTCGTAGAACTGGATGGTAGTTGACACACTGAACTAATTTGTTAGAAATATTTTACACGTGGCTTCTTGTAGGTGGCTTACTGCAGGGGGATGATATATTCGTAGAATGTTTGTAAAAATCGTGAGACAATGCAATTTATAATGGCAGATTTTCTTCACGACGTTCGTTTTTCGATTCTTCCAATAATGATCCACCGTCCAACAATTAATTTGAGTTCGATAGATCTCTTCTAGAAGTCCCAAATTTTCTATCCTTGCAGTACAAATTCAAAAGTTGTTTTATCTGCTTTTATACTGTGTAATTGAATTTCTTCAAATCAGTTGCTTCGAAAATAATCACTGCACAAATTGGATCTCCACAGTGGATCCATCACATGTTTCAGCTCCGTCGTTTAAAAATTGCGAATACTATATAAATCCAATACCACAATTGTTTATGAAGCCATAGAGTCCTTGAGTTGTTCCTGTCTGCCTCAAAACAAAGTTCCTCAAGCACCGTACAACTACTCCAATTTCCCAAATTCTTCCATACATCAAACCGCACATCGATCTTCAGTGTCACTGATCAAACCGCGATAGACTCGTTGATCCTCCACTGAACCAAACCATTCTATTTACATTACACGCGTCTCTCAAGGTCTCATCGTACAAAACCGCAGTATTTACATCTTCTTAAACATAGAAGTCATTCCAACTGTCCATTACTAAACAATTCCACGATAAAGAAAAACTACAATGCTCCAACTGCACCCAGGTAGAATATTCTATTCCACTCAAAGACCTTGAATCTCAATGCATAAACAAAGCAGCCGATACTACCTTCGAAAAAATACAATCCCGAATACATCTACAGGGTCCACCACGTGTCGTCCACTCGCGCCATAACGTACAACACACCAGAGCTCACAAGAAATCCCTTCCGATCGAGGTCCTTCTTCTCCTCCCGAAAAAAAAGAACGAACAAAACGAGTGCACCTCGATCGTCGACGTGACCAGTCAAGCAACGGTATGACGAATCGCGACACCCGCGATCCCCATGCCAAAACGGTGATCCTCGATCGTTGCCATGTCGACCGAGCGCATACGTAATTGAAACGACGGAGACGGAACGACCATGGGCGGTAGGGAGGGAGAGAGAAAAAGAGAGCACGTGTGTGGCTCGACGACCGTATCGGGCACGAGTCGACGGGTAACTGGCGGCGGCCGCCGGCGTGCCGCATTTCAATCGCCGCCGGGTCGCGGCTCCGTGCGCGCCGACTCGCCGCGGTGGCGTGGCAGCTGGCGTGGCCGCGTAAACCGCACGGACGCGGCGACGCCGCGGCCCGGATTGGCCGTCGCGTGAGCCAACTGCGTGCAAAGACGCGCCTACCGGACCCGTGGACCGCCATCTTGCTGCCTCTCCCAGGCAGGCTTTTGTCCTTCCGCGGTCTCTCGCAAACTATCGCGCGCGCCCCGATCCACGGGGCAGGATCTAAACGAGGAACCTGACGAATTTCAACCGTTTTCGCTACCCTTTCCAACCTGATCGATCCTGCGTTAATTGCTAGACTCCAGCGGCCCATTGGCGCTTCAATGTATTCTGTGGACGATTTTTTTATTTTGTTTTTTGAGGGAACTTTTTTAGTATGATCGTTTCTCCGATGGAGGTGTTAGTGGACTGTGTTGAAGAGTTTGGAATATGTTGTGGGGATTATGGAACGTTTAGGAATTGTTTGATGGAGGATTTATGGTTGAGAGGTAATTTTATTTTTGTATTTGATTGGTTAGATTGGCAGAAGGTTTTGAATGATGATTTTTGACCGAAGGTATGCCCTTGTGGAGGACTTGAATTCTGAAAGTTTATTCCTGGTATATTTCCGAGTTAATGGAAATGAATATTCCAATAGTATTCCAAATGAAGGAATAGAGTTTCGAAACTTGTATTAACAGTTACTGTGTGCATTTACGGTATGTTTAAATATACAGATGTCGGTAAGAATTTGTTACAGATGGAGATATAGGGGAATAATAGATAAAACTGTTAAACCTGTAGCAGTTAATGTGACTTTTTTACTTATTAAATTTCGATCAGCAAAATTACTGAAATAGCTATTATAGTACTTTCCTTCATAATACTGAAACTATCTGATAAAAGCAGTTAGGATCTTCACAGTAACCCACTAGGTAAAACTATACGTCATACATTGTATATCCTTAGAACCATTACAACTCAGAACAAGCTCTACGGTTCCAACTGTTTTGAACTTAAGTTGAAGTTTGATCTTACTTATTATTCAACCCAATACAGTAGAACCTCGATTATCCGAAGTATAGCAACCCGAACAAATGCATTCTGATAAATAATTTTTCAGGTATTTAATCGAGAATATTCACATATTTCATAGGTACATCAATAAAAATAGATGAAACAATAGATTAACTAGCAATTTTTATTTGGTAGTTTTTGAAAATCAGGGTTCTTCCATAGTCAACTCTACACATTCTAGATAACACACCCATATTTCCTTTTCATCCTCCACAATCTCACACCGAACAACGACGTAACGATTGCAACAATGCATGAAAGTGTTCGTTAACCATGCTGTTCCCCTCGGGTCTATATGACCCAAAATGAAGATTATGTTTCGAAATATTTGTTTTTCATATTGGACGTATTTAAATGTTACACCTATTTTGTATTTTGAATAAGAACAAATTACCTCAACATTTGATATAACACTATCTGTAGGGGTATAGCCGCAAGGAGTAAACGAGAAAAACAACATGGTTAATATTATAAGAATGAATCTGAAAACCGGGGAAATGCTGAGGAACCTGCACCATGAGTGCTCGCCGTTAAGCAAACACGAACTCGATGACGTCGAGCGGATTGACACCAAGAAGGGTACATCATTATCCTGCGAGTGGATTGGCTCGCGCCAAGATCGACCGGATAAACGCGCTCGTTAAGGGCCCTGGTCCGTGCGGGGGTGGCACGGCGAGCAACCTAATGGGAAACACGTTCCGCGTCGGGCATTCGCGAGCGAGCGATAAAAATACAAGGAACGCGGCTGAGTGGGCTTATGGTAACGCGCGTCGCGCTTGAAAGCGAGCTGGCTCGTTAACGCTGATCGCTTTGCATACTCATTATGACGTAAATACGCCCACGCGTCTAATAACGCGTCGATTATTGGCTCCAATTGATTTATCGAAAATTGTTCGTCCGTAAACCGGTGACCTGGATTTTAGTGAATGATATGCTAATAATTACAAATTAGGATCGTCAAATGTTGAATTGTAAACACTAGATTGAAGATTTTATACATTTATAACGTATCTAATTGTGTAGAATTTAGTACAGACAACAGTTTAATAAAATTGAATGAAGCTTGTATTTTATTTGCAACCTAATAGTAGGTCCTACGTTTAATGCGGTATATATTTAGGATCTGCGACTTAATCATGGAAGATTGATATTTAGTTGACGATATGGTGACAATTAAAAATTAGGATCCTGTAACGTTTAATTGTAAACACTAGACTGTAGATTTTATGCATTTATAGCGCATCTGATTGTCTAGAATTTAGTACACTCAACAGTTTAATAAAATTGAATGAAGCTTGTCTTTTATTTGGAACCTAATTGTACATACGTTTAATGCAATAAATAAATTTCTATCCGATTTTAGTACTTGTAATTTAATCCTGGAACATCGATATTTGTATGAACCTCCGCATTCTAATAATCACTAACGAACGATGGGGCTGATTCAGAAAGAAATTGATCTCCTCCAATCAAAGTTTTATTAAATCAGAAATAAGAGTGATGTTTTATTTTCCTCACTTTGTTTTGCAGGTAATCTTTAGTTGAGAATATACATCAGACATTAATATAGCATAATTAATAATGTTCTTCGATAATATAAAAAATACTATTGATCGAAAGAGATTTAATAAATTGGCAGAATCTGGACGAAAATACAATGTATTAAAAAATGTACATCTATTAATAAGTCTATTAACTGGACTACTTTTCCATCGTCAATAATCCACGAATCTTATTAATTTACCATGTCTAGCAAAAAATACAATATTGTGAGTACAATATAATATAATTGAGTAGAAGTATTTTATCTTCGGCAATTAAGAAAGTATGCTTTATTATTTCATGAAGGATTCGACAACATAAAAAGAGACAGTCGCGATGAATCAATTACTCACTCTCGCATAATTTCTCTTTCATCGTAAAGAACCTTGTGGCAGGTTACACCCATGCGTCGTTTGTACTGTCCGGAGGCGTTTCCAAGCTGGCTAATCGGTACATCACGCTAATAGTGACGCTATTTCGGCACTCGTTAACGCGACACGGCTCTAATTGAGCCTTACAGAATCTAAAGTTAAACGGCTGGTCGTTATAGAAAGCGCACGGCTATGCATCTTCAAGCTCGTTGCGTCGATGACGTATTTCTACTGAATTTCTGAAAGCACATGCATCAAGACATGCCGTATGATGATCGATCAATCGAACTACGAGCATCAACAAAAATTGTATCGATCTATTAGATACCATGATCTCCATTTAAGAAGTGCACTCCAATTTCTCCTACCATTAATTATAAACTTAAAAATAATATAATTGTGAGAATGGGAATTTTGTGCATTTACAATCTATATAATCGAGTGTGTAAAATACAATAGAATACGATTTTCACCAAAAATTTAATACGATTTTGAATGTGTTAACA